GAATCCTTTTTCGGAGAAACTTTCAAATAGTTGGTCGAGGGTTTCCCCAAGTATACACGTGAGTCATCGGACACCCTTCGAGCGCCCCTCGAAGGAGATCTGTTGAATCCACCGTTCCGGATTTTCTCGACCCTCGTTTCCGTGTCCGCGGAATTTCTTTGCGGCGGGACAAGCTTGCGTTCCATAAGCCAGATCTGAACGCAAACGCTAGAAGGTGAGGATCGATCGAATCGGGGCGTTGCACGGAGAGTACCCTGCGTGAAAGAGAAGATAAGGCTCGAGGAAAGACGGTGCATCCTTCCCCCGAGGGTGACTTCCGCCATTGCCGCATAGGAACGTGAGGTCCTCGCAATCTTTCTACAAATACCTCGTTGTATTTTATCGCCTAATGTAATCGTGCGTAAATTAATTCGCGATTGAATTTTTATTAAATTACAACTTAATAATTGTGTCAGTCGTGAGGTCTCATTTAAGCGGATCATTTTAATCGAATTACATGAAAAATACAAACTTTATCATCAAAATTTCTTTTTCGGTCTTATTTTACAGCTCAGTATATTTACATCATCTAGATACATTTTTTAATTTCACGCGTTAGAGCGTATAATTATTATTTTAATTTTTATATTGTATCATATATATAGCTAAAGAGAGTAACGCATTTTGTAAGTAAAAATGAAGAATGAAACGTTCCATATCTCGGTCATATCATATTTCCGTATTATTTTCAAGTTAAACGATACTGCTTGTTTCACGATATTGGCTTAGATATCTTTTAACTCGATCAACGTTATCGATACGTGTTTCCGTGTCGCATCGGCCTCGCGAATAAAGTCGATTACGATTCATGGTGTGCTGACATGTCGATTTGACGACAGTCTCTTCCGTTCCTCGCTATCTCGTTCGCGTAAGTCCCTGAGGCACTTTTGCTAAGAAGCTCATCCCTTGCGTTGATCCTCACGATATCTCGCTTCGTATACTCGTTTCGTGCCGGGATCTCTGGATAACTCATTCGTATCTGCTACATCTCTCGCGAGCGAGAAGATATCACTAATTCGACGATAAACGAGTCGAGTCGAGGCTGTTATTGGTGCGACTTACAAGCGTTTGTAGTGATATCTGGTTGATACTTGTATAGATAACACCATATCTGAACGCCTTTGAAAAGGATTCCACGTACTGGAAGTTATCTTTTTAAACTTTTTTTAACCTAAATTACTTCGCTGCCACGGATTCGTAATATCGATGTTTCATTAGCTGATTTGTAATTCTTTCACGGAATCGAATATGTGATAAGAGGAAAAGAAAGCATTCCCCGAATTGGGTTAGTTAGAGATACAGCCGTTTCACGATTGCTTCGTTGGAGTCTGAATAAAGCTGTTTGCTACTCTGACACGATCGATCACTCTGGTCGCATGAGGGATGAACTGTGCATAGTCGAAGAGGCGCCTCGTTATCGATGTAGGTACCCGTTTCTTCGGTTGAAAGACAAGCCGTCGTGAACCGTAGTGTAGCTGCAACATTATGTCGCCGCTGCTGGAGAAACGGGAGAGCTTTGTCTGCTCGTTGCATTATTAATCGAGCAATCGATATCTCGGTCTATGTTTCATGCACACACACACACACACACACACACACACCCACACACCATCGCGCGCTAGACCGTCACTGTATTACGTTATTCCA